CCCGTGTCCTCCGGGGCGAGAAAAGCCCCGTTCGTACCTGCAAGTCGGGGACTGCCTGTATACCCGGCGTATAAGATGACCCCCGATTTTTGGGGGATGTTTTTTAGCATAAAAAGTCGTCTTATATGCCAGAAAATACGGTACCTGTCAATTGTAATGCTGGTGCTGAGGCTAAATGAGTGGACTGGAAGTGTCCCATACTTAACTTTTGATGTCAATGAGATGTTAAATGTAAGGAAAGCTGGTTTTATAATGGACCATCCAGTTAATAACTTTGTTCAGGCCTAGGGAAACAGTGTCAAATTTTCAAATGAAGGTCAATTCTCCACTCTCTCTCTGTAGTTGGCTTGTGAAATTCATTTGTTTAAAAAAATGGCTACTTTTAAATCCATGATTGAGAGCCTAGGGTGGTTAAAATGTTCCCCTACAAGTTTGTGTTACCATTCCTGATGTCTGATTTGTGTCCCTCCCTACACCAAAGGATAAATATTTCCAGGGGCCATACATGGTGAAGTGGCCAGCTGACACCTCTCCAGTCACAGAGAGGGAAAGGAGTGTGTGGGTGAGTTAGGGAGAGGGAAGGCAGAGGGTGAATTTAGTGGGTTACAGTTTGTTGTAATAAACCAGCATGTCTATTCAGTTCATGATTTTCAGTGTCTAGCAAAGTAATGAATTTCAGCTCTGTTGGGATTTTGTGGTACCCTGATCTCCCAGCAGGCTGTCATCTCATAGACACACCTGAGATTAGCTGGCAAGCTTCTTGAGATAGGGCTGTCTTTTGTTCTCTGTGTGTTTTCAGTGTCAGATATACGGGCATTCCCTAAGAGGGGTCATGGGTGCTTCCAGCAGGCTGTCATCTCATAGATACACCTGAGATTAGCTGGCAAGCTCCTTGAGATAGGGCTGCCTTTTGTTCTGTGTGTGTTTTCAGTGCCAGATATAGGGGCATTCCCTAAGAGGGGTCATGGGTGCTACTGTAACTGTCACCAGGTGGATTTGAACCTGGGACCTTTGAAGCAGAGTATAGGAGCGTCTACCCTCTGAGCTAAAAGCCAGCTGGCTCCCAGCCCATGCTGTGGTGGTCTCTTGATCTTAACTGTTGCTGTGGTCTAGGTATCACTTGCATTACTCAGTAACCCACACACCTAGGCTACGTCTACACTAGGGCTACATTAGGGCTGTGTCTAGACTGGCAAGTTTTTCCAGTCTTTTGCTTTTGTGGAAAAACTTGCCAGTTGTCTACACTGGCCGCTTGAATTTCTGCAAGAACACTTAACTTTGGACTGTCTGAAATCAGTGCTTCTTGCAGAAATACTATGCTGCTCCCGTTCGGGCAAAAATCTCTTTTGCGCAAAGCTTTTGTGCAAAAGGGCCAGTGGAGACAGCTCAGATTTGTTTTGCGCAAAAAAGCCCCGATCGCGAAAATGGTGATCGGGGATTTTTTGTGCAAAAGTGCATCTAGATTGGCATGGACGCTTTTCCGCAAAAAGTGTTTTTGTGGAAAAGCATCCGTGGCAATCTAGACGCTCTTTTCCGCCAACGCTTTTAACGGAAAACTTTTCTGTTAAAAGCATTTGCGGAAAATCATGCCAGTTTAGACGTAGCCTAGGTGTGTGGGTTACACTACCACAGTATTAAACTACAGTACATTCTCTGTAGAGTAATATGCAGGCCTGCTGACTTGAGCTGGGGGAGCGGGGTGAAGGAGTCAATTGTTCCAGGTGATTCCAAGGGGCACGGGGCTCCCAGCCACCGGCACTGCTACTGCGTCAATGGTCCTTTAAATCACCGTCAGAGTGTGATGCCACACCCTCTGGGGGTGTCTCAGGGTGGGGCGGGTGCACCTTGCTCCAAGCCCTGCCCCTTCCACCTCTTCTATAGAGGCTGTAACATGCAAGTAATTTGAGAGCTGACACGAAAACACTGAAAGACAAATAAGAAGAAATTCTGGCTTTACTGAAGTCTGTGGGAGTTCTGCTATGACTTCAGTGGGGTCAGGATCTGGCCCACAATCTTTCATTCTGTCTGTATTAATTATATGCAACGCTGGCAGGCAGGATGGATCAGAAGGAGAAAGATACTGTCTGAAATACCTTCAATGGCAAACGGTTTCCCCACTGTCAAGAGTTTGCAGTCTGCATCTATTGATACTTCATAATCCAAGAGCGCTTTATCCATGATGAAGGCATCTAGTTTCTCTGGATCATGCCTGTTGTTGAAGATCAAAGTAAGAAAGCAACCAATATGAGAAGCTTCACCGTTGTGTTCATCGATATAGAAGCTATTGTTTCAGGGTTGGAAACCAAGATTGTACTTCTCAGGAAGCTTCTGATATATAAACCCAACCCAAAACCAACCTAAAACCTACTTTATAACCCTAATGATGCTGAGGAGCAGGGGTTACTGCTATCAACGCAGAACTGTGTTAAATATCAGAGGGAAGGACTCATGTGCAGAGAGGTTGATCTGACTAGCAGAATATCCGCAAAAGAACCAGGTCTTATATCATATCATTGACCTGGAAGAAGGAAAGTGCAATAGGGTGAGAATCAAATTTAAGTTGCTTGCACAGTAGCACACAAAGGAGGAAACAAGAAATATCTAAGGCTGTCATTCAGGTTCAGTTTCCTACTGCTGCTTCTAAGATTGATCTACTGTATGGTAAAAGCAAGAGCTGAGCACTTGGCAAGGTTTTCCACGAATACCTTGCTGCTCTTTTAACATGAATGTCTTTCGTCCAGGCTTGCTTTTTGCTTTCCCATGCACATTCACATGACAGAGTTTCCCTGGTTTGAATGTTTTATGGAATGCACATTTTAAGGTTCTGTGACTGCATGTATGGAAATGTGCTCCCCATGTTCTCATCCAATCAAGGGAAACCATCAAGTGGCCAAATCCCCAGCTGGTAGAAGTGTCACAAACCCACCGACTGGCATGGGACTGAATTACATCTACTGAGGATGTGGCAAGTGCGCTAGGAGTTACTCATGAAAATAAAATCAGGGTACCCTAAAATATTAAACAATGTAATCACAGGCAATTTGTTATACAGATCCCCTGGGGATCCAACCTGTGGCTAATTATGACCATGATTGTAGCCTCCAATCTAGTCATGTGTATAATCAATTGCAGAACATTGAGAGGGAAATGTATTTGAAACCACACGCCTTGCTGGAAATGTGAGACTGAGCTGATAATTGTCTATCAATTTTGTGTCACTGCTGTTCTTATTGAAATCTTTCTAAAGAGTCTCTGTTTGGGGCACAAGTATGATTGTGGGTGGCACCAAGATTTCTAATGTTTGTTTTTATTGGCACTGCCTTCTGGACAGCGCCTCCTGCCCAATGAATATCTTTCAACCCATCGCGGCACTGCAAAAGGTTGCTTTGTCTGCAAAGAGTGAGCGCCTCTCTGTACTCTCCATGCTGTAATTGTTACTCCTTGTTCCCTTTTAGCGATGGGGAGAATGAGCTTGTACTTTCTTCCCCAACTCTGCCCTGTTGTCCTCCATGCCAGAGCAATACAACCATGATGCCTCTGAAAATGGAAAATTGGACATGATCTAGACAATCCAAGTTTATTTAACCCTTTGAAAAATGTACTTAATATTTGAGTGTGTGTGTGTGTCTGTCCAGCAATCTGTGTGTCTGTTCAAAAATGCCTCCTAAATAATAAAAGCTAGGACCACCAAATTTGGTATGCCACTTCCTCTAATAAATTAAAAGCAAGGTCAGGGTTTGGTTGTGCCTGAACAATGAGATATGCCTGGAATATGATTGTTTCTCATAAAATGGAAAGGGAGGAGTCTGCTAGCAGGCACAGTTATACTGTACATTGACCACAAGGGGGCAGAAAGGGGCCAGAAATGGGGACTGGGACGGCTATACCTCCATTGGGGCAGCAAAGGGCAGAGGTAGAGAAAGGAACAGCTATCTACTAGATATTTGAGAGAGTTTGTCTGACTGTGTGCCTGTCTGTCCCTTGGCTGAGGGATATGCACCGCTGTGCCCGCTGGAGCTACAGCAGCCATGGAGAGGTGCTTCTCACCTGGCCCCAAGCTGCTGTGGTCGGAGAGTGTTGGGGTAGTCCTCTCTCCCCAGGGCAGCTTGTATGCTTACTCCCTGACCCCAGCCCCACACCAGATCAATGATTTAAATGAAGAAAACCAAAAAATATTTTGGTTAAGGACCTGAAACATGCCAGGTAAATCCTCTGGTATTATATATAAAGTAAGATGAATGGAGGAAAACCTGTACAGAAGACACTTAGAATAACTAAGTCTCCAATGAAGTAATGGGAAAGAGGTCCATTGACTCCTAGGAGCTTTGGACTAGGGCCTTCGTGCAGCCCAGGACTGTGAAACGAAGCGCTCTTTGATCAGTCAGTGATCACAAGATGCTAGCGTGCAGAGACTCACTTCAGGTGTTCCACGCCGTCTGGAGTTGCAGGCACGTTGTACCGTCTCATGTACTCATGCATCTCTGGGAAGCTCTGTCTGACATAGTCTTCAGCACTGCTTTCTCTCACCGTCCCAAAGCGAAATCCCTGGGAAGGGTGGTGGAGCTAAGAAATAGGAAGAGAGAGACCAGCTCAGTAATTTGTCTTGCTTACTTTGAGTAACATCTTTTTTTTGCTCTAAAGAAAGCTACACAGATTTTACAGGTGTTTTTTTTAAAAAAAGGGGGGATTATAGACCTCATTGCAGAGACACATGCCACTTCGGGATCAGTTAACTAGTTACATACTCTTAGGATCTGCTCTAGGGCTGCGAAAAAAAATTCTTCTTGAGCCTGAGAGCAGCCTGAATCCAGGCGGGATTGCGTTCTGGTCTCTTGGTGAAGCTCAGCACAGGTTTGAGGAAAGGGTCATGCGCTTAGGAGAAGGTTGAGGGGTGACTGGATTACTATGACTGCCTGAAGTGGAAAGGGAAACTGGAGCGGTGTGAACCTGTGGGGTGGGGCTTTTGGAGGGAGATGTTCATAGAGATGCTTAGATTTTGGAGCCAGAAGAGACTACTGTGCTTATCTCATCTGACCTCCTGTATAACACCAGGCTCTAGAACATTCTCAGAACAATTCCTAGAGTGAGTCTCTTAGAAAAACTCCCAGTTGTCATCTATCAGAGAGGCAGCCGTGTTTAATTTGTATCTGCAAAAACAGCAAGGAGTCCTGTGGCACTTTAAAGACTAACAGATTTATTAGGGCATAAGCTTTCGTGGGTAAAAACTACTTTGTCAGATGCATATAAAAATGGCCAGTACTGGACAACCCACTATGAGCCTTGGTACCTTGTTCTAGTGATTTATTACCTGTTTAAAAATGTAAGCTTGTTCATTCCTACATGGGGTTGGATCCTATTTTAAAGCACCAGAAGGCATAAATGGCAGGGATTGCTTGGGCTGGTGGTGATGTTCCCAGTTCAACTTCAATTCAGGTGGTGAGAAGCTGAATGAAAGGTCCTGCCCTCTGGTGACACTTTCGAGGTGTTCACATTACATACTATTGGAGGCCTGATGGGTAACCAATTTTGGCATGACATAGGGTCAAGGACTAAATGGGCATGAAAATTGGACTAGTCTCCCATTCTTCAAGGAAGAGATGAGAGATTTCATGGAGGGGATGTTTTTTGTAGAAAATGGTACTTTTACAGTCTCTGCTCCATGGAGGAACAGGGGGCGGGGGGGTGTCTGTTTCCAGACTTCTCGGTGTGGATATTTTTCACACATGCATTGTCTTCACTACTCGTCTCTTTAAATTCCTGTGTGAAGTCCAAGTAAAATGGCTGACATGCGGTAGACCCCAGGTCCAATCCTGATTATCAGTGGGGTTTCATTGGTGCATAGCTCTTGTGTTGACACTGTACCTGGGTGAATTTCAGTAGCTTTTCAGTATCTTTTTATCTTGGACTAGTGCTGCTAGCTAATGCTTTTCATTGCTAAGTGTTTGCAAACATTGTTTCATAATACCTGTGAGAAGTCAGTCAGTCGCTCCATTTTATGGGTAGGGAAACTTGCACTGAAATTTTGATTTACCCAGTACCTACATCTTCTAGGAAGGTCAAGTGGTGTGTGCGTGCAGGGAACAGGGGACTCTTCTGTTTCTTCAGATACTGCCTGGCTCCAGAAAGAGGGAGCTACCCCAGACTCCCCTCATCCCTTCCCCCATGCTCTGCTTTCTTCAGAAGTTAAAAGGAGAGGATACAGCTAACTGCAGATTTAAAAGTTGACAGCATCTTTGTTGCAGTTACTAGTAAACAACCTTTCATGAGGTGTTGGGAAGAGCATGATGGTGAATTCCTCTCTGAAGAATATATGAGGGAGACACCATTATACTGGTGCATGAGACATTAAGTGCAGCTGATCTCAGCAGAAATGGACTCTGTGCAAAGTGCTGTCACATACAAAAAATGGACTTGGAAAATAATAGAGACTTTTTTTCCTCTCATCTCCTTCAGGCACAAGAATGTTAAGTGTTCTGTGCCTCAAAAGTAAGTGCAAAACTATTGGATGAAAAGGCAATTTTTTTTCAAGTCAACAAGGATTCCTTTAATATTTACTTCTGGCTGTGTTTTGAGAAAACTCTGCCACCCTCAAAACATCATTATATTTATACCAAGCCACGGTTGCAAACTCTTTATTATGGCTCACAAAATTTGGTGTGTATCTTAAAGCAGCTGGAGTCCTGTGAAGAGAGTCCCAGCTTTCATTTAAAAGTGTAACCGAAGAACCTACTATTCCATTTTGTTTATAATTTGAAGTCAAACTGAAAGGTGAATAAAAGTTTCAGAGAGGGAGCTGTGTTAGTCTGTAACTGGAAAAATTTAAAACAACAAGTATTCTTGCAGCACCTTAGGCTGTGTCTAGACTACATGCCTCTGTCGTCAGAGGCATGTAGATTAGACACATAGGCAAAGGCAAAGGAAGCCGCAATTTAAATGATCGCGGCTTCATTTACATTTACATGGCTGCCGTGCTGAGCCGACAAAAAGCTGATCAGCTGTTTGTCTGCTCAGCGCGCTAGTCTGGACGCTCCCCTGCCGACATCAAAGCCCTTTGTCGGCAGCCCCGGTAAACCTCGTCCCACAAGGAATAACGGGGCTGCGAACAAAGGGCTTTGATGTCGGCAGGGGAGCGTCCAGACTAGCGCGCTGAGCGGACAAACAGCTGATCAGCTTTTTGTCGGCTCGGCGCGGCAGCCATGTAAATTTAAATGAAGCCGCGATCATTTAAATTGCGGCTTCATTTGCCTTTGCCAAAACAACAAATCTACATGGCTCCGTCGACGGAGCCATGTAGTTTAGACATACCCTTAGAGACTAAAAAAACATGTAGATGGTGATATGAGCTTTCGTGGGCACAGCCTACTTCTTCAGATGAAAGAAGTGAATCATTAGTAGGGGGAGCACTGGTATTTCTCAATACTTATTCTGTGCTATATATATTAACAGTACCTTGGAGACTTGGCTAGGAAAGCTTTTTACTGCAGATTGGCCTTCCATGATTTTAGTCTGCTTAAATGACCTAAAATGCTGCAGATTCAGCTATAGGCTGCTGACCTGGAGTTTTCTGGCAAAAGTGTAGTTAGGGTTAATAAGCCTCTTATCCAGTTAGATGCATTGTTGTCCAGTGCTGTAAAAATCAAAGGGAATGAGGCTTTGTACTGGACTAGAAACAATCTTTGATGTACCCACATGTCCAGAGGCACAGAAATCCCTGAGCAACAATTTGCTAAATCAGCTACAAAGGTAGCTACGGATGAGTATGAAACAGATGAGTAATTGCAGCTAGGGGTTGATACTGCCCTGTTTATTCATTGTAGAAGTGGCTAATCTTTGCTTTGGAGGCCTGGGAACAGTGGTCACTTGTGATTGTGAAGAGGTACTCACTGTTTAATAAAATGCCAGTTCAGTTATGACGTGGTATCTCTTCAGTCTCTGTCCTCCGCAACAGCTTCTTGCAGCGGGGGACTCCCTAAGTATGGGGAGTGCTAAAGAAGAACAGTTTGTAGGGCAGGCAGCCAAGGTAGACATCTGAAGCAATTTCCCCCTGCTGGAGCTCTGAAGGGAAGCATGCGTCTCCAGAGACCATGAAGGGCCACATGGCGTCAAGTCTATTGGCCAATCAGCAGACAAGGAATGAACAAACAGCTGTGGAGTTCAGGGAGGTAATTCTCATAGTGAGTCACACAAATGGGCCAGATTTTGAGCTGTCAATGCCATCCGTTCCAAAGCAAATAGACACCTAACGGATTTATGTTGTAATTTTTAAACTGATATTTAGCATTCCTGGTGGCTCAGGGTAGACGTTGACTGCAAAATGCTCCTGGAGCTTAAAAACAGCCCCTGTGCTTGTGAAATACAGATCAGAAATGTGTAATGTGATGGCCACCGTGGGTAAGTACATGCATCCTGGATAGACCGTCAGTTGGTCTCCAGCATTTAGGGAGCTATCGCCCTCTGGCTGCGCCAAAGGAAGGATGTAAGATCGAACACTGACAGCTATCAGCAAATTCATTCTAGAGCAAATGCTAGGAGGCCTATATATTTTTCAGGGAAAAGCCCTGCGTTCCGTTCCTGCAGCTTATTCATCCCCAGTGCATGGTTTAAATGATGACTGCTCTGCTTATGCGACCACCAAACTATTAAAAGAAACCTGTTAGGAATCCACACACAGCTTTTGAGTATCCATATGAAGTTTGCCTCAGGCTATGTCTATACTACAGAGTCAGAAAAAACTTCACTTATGTCCACGCTGCAATTGCGTTCTCTCGAAATAAAAATCGAAAGAACAGAGGGGTTTTTCTGATGCTGGTAAACTTCTTTCTACGAGGAAGAAGCCTTTTCCTGAAAGAGCTGTTTCGGAAAAAGGAGTGTGTGTGCAGGGAAGAGGGCGTTCTTTTGAAAGAAGAGGAAAGAGGAAAAAGCACAATTGCTCTGGTGGCCATTCCGTTCATAGCAATTACAGTTTACATGCAGGAGAGCGTCCATTCAGTGTGGACGCTCTCTGTCGAAAAAGCAGATCGCTTTTGATGTGCTTTGGCAGTGTGGATGTGCTCTTTCAGAAGGAGTTTTTCCAGAGGATCTCTTCTGGAAAAGCTGCTTCCGAAAGAAGCCTGCAGTCTAGACGTAGCCTCAGGCACTGAGCTGTACATTGTATATGATCTTGCCATGTCATTTTATAACATGACTAGCAAAGACTAGATGAAGAATAGCATCCTGTTCTGTTCTGAGGCAAGTGCAGTGAACACTGGTCTTCTCTTGGCACCACACCTCATTCCTACAACTTTTCAATTTCTGCCTCTTCGGAATCTTCCTGAGCGGGAAAGACGTTTCATTGTTTGCTGACCGGGGTGACGGGAAGTTCAGTGGATCGGTTTGGAGGCATGGGAAAAATGCACAAGAACACACATTTTGAGAGAACCACACTAAGGTCTGTCGACACAGCAACATTATTTCGGAATAATGTCAAAATACTGTCAAGTGGGAGGACTTCTTACTCCAACTCCTGTAGTCCTCATTGTACGAGGAGTAAGGGAAGTCAGAGGAAGAGTGCTCTGTTTAGAAAT